TTTTTTTATCTCCCCTGACCCTGAGGGGTTTGGCTTGCCTTTGTGCTTTTTGTTTTTTTCTGTTTCTGAGACAAGGTCTTATTATGTAACCCTGGCCTGCCTGGGCCTGGAACTTACTGTCAACCAGGCTGGCCTCAAACTTTCTGCCTCCCAAGTGCAGGTTGATTAAAGGCCTAGGCCACCATGCCACCCTTTTTCTGGTTTTGCTACCTTGCTACCTTTTCTGTTTTCCTTTTCCCTTTCTCTACCCTTTACCTTCCAAACCTCAGTGCTCAAGACTGTACCCTTCACGGCCCGTACCGGCAAGCGAACATCCCGGCTCCTCTGTGAGGCCAGCCTGGGAGAGGAGATGCCCCTCTAGCTCCCAGGTACCCGAATAGCCTGGTCTGTGATCCCACTGCCATCAATCTGGGCATCTTGGGGGCAAATTCATGTCTCCCAGCCCTGGGCCAGTGCATGGCTGGAACGTATTGGGTGGGTGGGCGGTTCTGTCTAAGGTAAATCAGTGCCTCCTCCCACATGCACATAACCTGGATCCTTAAAAAGATAAGCCTGTGCCCTGGAGACTGGTCCAGGTGTGGGCAGACTCCTGAATTTATGTTTCTCCCCTGGTTCTCAGATCTTCGGAACCAGCCCTACATCCGCTCAGACACAGGTCGCCGCAGTGCTCGCCGGAGACCCCCAGTTCCCACTCTGCAGGCCACCGCTGACCTTTCGCTCTAGTTGCTATTTCTGCAGGTGGCTTCTGTAGGGAGTTGGGCTATGGGCAGGCTGGGGCTCAAGGAAGGTGTTTCTTAGCTCGACTGGGTCCGGCAGCCCCTCCTCCTGTCAACCACCACTTTGAGGAGGCCTCATCTCCCCAAAAGCTGCTTGCAGCATCCGGTCCCCCTAATAGCCATACTTAGCCCGAGCAGGAGCCTGGCCTGTAACTTATAAAGTGCACCTCGCCCCCTTAGCCCGGAGGACTCTCCTTGGACCTTATTTTTATACAAGATTAATAAAGATGTTTGCAAAAGATCCGCGTCAGCTCGGTGCCTGACCCCACCAGGTGCAGCCAGTTTCTCTCAGCAAACTCTACTTGTACAAGGTCTTCATAGCGGATCTCTGAAAACAGGCTGGCGAAGGGGAGGAAGCCAGCTTCGAGGGGCGCATTTGCTCCATCGGCTGGCTCACTAGCCCTGCAGGAGGACGAAGAGGACCTGCGAAAGATGGGGGCATGGGGGGGAACACTAGAGTTAGAGACACACCGGATTGGGTTTAGGAACACCTGGGGCTACCGCACCGCCCTCTGCGCCTGCACCAGCTCCGTCCCCATTTCTTTGGGTTCAGTTCCCACTCTTCTGTGGCTTCTTTGCCCGCCAATCACGCCCCATCTGCTGGCCCGCCTCCGCCCCATCTGCGGAGTCCTCAGCCTCCGGGTCCCTTCCTTCCGGTGCACCTTTGCAGAGCGGCCCAAGGTTGGGAGGGAGCGTGGGGCGGCCAGGTTGGTGAGGATTGGGGAGTCGGACATCCGGGCCTGGGGCTCGGTTCTGGATCCTGCGTTCCGGCCGCGTCCGCCCGGCCAAGTTGGGTATCTGAGCGTAGGGGCTGCGCCCACCTGGGACGGGATCCGAGAGGAGGAAGAGGCGGGAACAGTACTGGGAGGGAACCGCGGGATCCGTAGGTGGCCATGGGGCTACGGGTGACCCCGGAGCGTCCCCCTGCCCCTGTCTCGCGGGGTCCCACCTCGCGCCTCTGATCCCGCCCTCGGCTGGCTGGGGGGCGCACCCGCTTTGTACATTGTGTGCAGGGAGCGCGCCAGCTGGGTGCTGGAGAGGCCACTGAGGCACGCTGCCTGGCAGAAGTAGTTCAGGCTGGAGTACCCACGAGCAGGCCGTCCCTGGCCACGGACCCGGCCCTTACAGACCGGGCTCAGCCTCAGAGCCCGCTGCTTCTTGAAATAGTAGCTTGGAGGAGAAAGGTGGACCGCCTCAGACACCACTTCCCGCTCCTCTCTGTCTCACAGATAGGGAAACCCAAGCTTTTGGCCAGGGATGACTTGGGACCCAGGAAATGGACCCAGAAGTCAGGGCTCCTATCTCTGGGGCAGGAACATCAGGGGTTCTCTGCGGGCTCTGCTCTCCGAATCTTGGGCCTGGGAGCTGGGGATGGTTGTGCCCACCTTGTCACCTCCTGCCCTGATTTGGAGGGCACAAAGCCCTGGTTCAGCAGCTTGAACAGCACCTCAAGGAACAGTGTCTTCAGGCCTGGGGGTTCTTGGAGTGGATTGCTCTTCATTTGGCCTGAGGACATGGCAAAGGTGAGAAGGGATCTCCCCAGTCAGGCCTACCCTGACTCATCAGCTTTACCCCTCCTCACCCATGCACTGCTCCAGGCGGTGGCTGTCAGTGAGGACACCCAGGAAGTCCTTGAAGCTCATGATTCCATCACCTGGAAGACAGGAGGGTGCTATGGGTGCCTGCATGTGGAAAGTTTGCCCTGTAGAGGCTGTAGGGCTTTGCCAGCAGTTCCAGGTGTTAGAGAATCCAAAGGGTTTTACTTTGGAGAAAGAAATAGCTCTGGGGGAGCCCCAAGTCAGGATGAAGACTGACTCAGCAAATTTAAGGGCTAGGAAATAGGGGTGCTAATCTAGGTAGGCTTCCCAGAAGAGGGAACTTTAGAAATTAGGACCAGGCTAAGGATTTTGTAGATAGGGTAGGATTCTTTGAAGAGTACCTGGAGGCTAGAAGAGACAAAAGGGCAGAGACAAGGCACCCACCATCCAAGTCTGCCAGCCGTAGAGCCTCACACATCTCCTGTGGGCCCAGATGGAAACCCACATTGCACAGGGCAACTTTCATGCTGTGCATGTCCACAGTGCCTGTTGGGCTGCAGCTGAACAGTTTGAAAATATCCTGGAAAGCTGTGGGTACAGAGGGGGCAGTGGGTGAGGTGAAACATACTTGAGACATTCGTTTGCTAGCTGGAGTGGGACTGATGGCTTGGACTAACTCAATCTTTCTGGGCATGGTAACTTTCAATGCAAAGAACAAAGGTGGTTGCTGTATTGGCATGGAAGTGCCTAGTCAAGCCTTATGTCCAAAACCCATGGGCATGTTTGGACATGTTTGTATAAGAGGCATTTAAAATTCACACCCAGGGCAAGTGAGATGGCTCAGTGGGTGAGGGTCTTGCTGCCAAGCCTGATGACTTGAGTTCAATTTCCAGAACCAATATGATAGAAGGAGAGAACTGACTCCCATAAGTTGTCCTACACACGCACGCACACACACACACACCCACACAAGTGTAAAAATAAAATTCATATCTAAGGTCACACCTGGCAGCTAGCCTCTGGATCTGTAATGCTCTAGGAACCCTGCTTTGTGTCAGGCATATAGCAGGATCTAAAATTGTAGGAAATGATTCTTCTTTGATGGGTCCCTACCAACATCAGGGTGTGATCTTTGGGGAGCACTGGGAACAATGATTCCTTCTATCCTTACTCTCCACCCCTCAGCCCAGATCCAATGAGAACCTATTGTTTACTTTGGATAATTCTCCTTCCTCCCCTTTTCATCCTGTCCATCCAAACACTGTTATCAAAAGATCCTCCAATCCATTGAGTTTTCTTATCTCCTTCACACAAACAGACACAGACACACACATAAACACATTTGTTGGGGCCAGGCACATTAGTGGGCCTTTGGGCTGTGGAGAAGAGCACATTAGACTGGCATGGAGGGAAGGTTGCAGAAGGCTGACTTCTTCTTGTGAGCTTATAAATATGATAACCTTAAAGTAGGCAACCCCTTGTAATTTGGCCCTAAGCATCCCTTTAATTTTTATCCTTACTTCTAGCCCTGGGATCCTTACCTGCAAGTTGCCGGGATGTCAGGGGCAGCAGGCTGTCATCTGTCAAGCTGCTCCAGGAGAAGAGGTTAGACAGGCCTTTGTATCTGTTGCAAAGAGATTCCAGGGCCAGGCAGGCCTTTCCCCAAGCCCAGCACCCCAAGCCTGGTCTCTAGTCCCCACTCTCACCTCCCAGTTCTGACATCTGGGCCTGGCCAAGCAGGCTGGGTCACTGCAGGGTCCTTTAATTCTCTTGCCCTCCGTATGGTCTGCTCATCCCTTGTGGCCATGGCTGCTGCTACCTCCGACTGGGTCAGTTGGACTGTATACAGCTGCAGCCTCTCTTTCTGCATCCTGTTAGCCTGCTTCTCTTGTGAATCTTGTGTGAAGAGACTTCGAGGCTTCTGTGGAGGCCTTAGAGACAGGGAGAAGACAAGGCAAGGGGGCCCAGTCTACCATGGTGCACAGACTCCAGCGGCCCTAGGGGACCAGGCCTGTGAGTGAGCAGGTCCACTGCCTCCCAGGATCCTCAGATCAGGCTGAATCCACAGCCCTCTATGCAAGGGATTCTGAAGTGGGCATAGGGCATGAACCCCCCCACCCCAACTCAGGTCAAAGAAAAGAGCCCTTCTCCAGCCCTGGTCAGCTGTACCCTCTCAGTGTCAATGGGGATCTCTTGGTCTTCTGACCGCTGCTGTCTGAAAGGCAGAGTCACAGGCTCTGAGGCTGCCCCTAGGCTGCCTCTATGGTGGATTTTGTCTTTTGCCAAGAGCTGCAAGCTATTACAGGCCTGTGGCTTCCTGCCAGGGCACCTGCTGCTCTATTCTGAGTTTCTACCTCCCTTCAGGCATCTGATTTGTGATTCTACTCTGGATGCTAAGTCAAGATGGCAGAGGTCCCAAAGGAGAGGCAGGCCACAGAGTCCCAAAGTCAGGGGCTAGAGGACAGGGACCAGTCCAATATAACCTCACTCACCACATTTGAGAAACTTTCCATGTAGGCTGGGCATAGTGGGGCCTACCTTTATAATTCCAGCACTTGAGAGGCAGAGGCAGGTAGATCTCTGAGTTCAAAGCTAGCCTGGTCTACATAGTGAATTCCAGGTCAGCCAGGGCCACATAGTGAGACCCTATCTCAAAAAAAAAACAAAGCAAAAATACTAATAATAATTCTATTAAACCTTAATTAAAAAAATTTTTTTTTTGGTCTTTTTGAGATAGTGTCTCCCCGTAGCCCCAGCTGGCCTCCAAAGCAAAAATACTAATAATAATTCTATTAAACCTTAATTAAAAAAAATTTTTTTTTGGTCTTTTTGAGATAGTGTCTCCCCGTAGCCCCAGCTGGCCTGAAATTTGTTATATAGACCAGGCTGTCCTTGAACTCAGAGATCTGCCTGCCTTTGCCTCCCAAGTGCTGGGATTAAAGGCATGTGCTATTATGCCGGGTTCTTAACAAATTTTAAAGAATGTAAATCATACAATGTCTGTTCTCAGGTCACAAAGGGATTAAATTAGAAACTAATAACAGAGAGGGCTGGAAGATATCCAAACATCTGGATATTAAATAACACACTTGTATACAATGCATGGGGCTAGGTGTGGTGACATACATAAGTAACTCCAGTACTCTGGAGGCTGAGGCAAAAGAATTGTGAGTTCAAGTCTAGTTTGGGCTACATAAGACCTTGTCAAAAAGAGAAGGAAAAAGCACATTATTAAAAATAAAACAATGCCTGGCATGGTAGTGCCCATCTTTAATCTCAGCACTTGGGAGGCAAACGCAGGTAGCTCTTTTTGAGTTCAAGGCCAGCCTGGTCTACATAGTAAGTTCCAGGCCAGCTGGGGCTATAGGGAGACCCTGTCTCAAAAAGACCAAATAAAATAAAATAAATAAAAATAATACAATGTCCAAATACTGGTGCAGAGAAAGAAGGATCAGGGGTTCGAGATCATCCTTAACTATATAGTGAGTTTGAAGATAGCCTGGACTGCATGAGACCCTATCTCAAAAAAAAAAAAAAAAAAAAAAATGGGTCAAAGAAGAAATCTCAAACTAAATGAAAACAAAAATGCAACCTATTCAAAATTTTGGAATGTAGTAAAAGTAGTGCTTAGAGGGAAATATGTAGCATTAAGTGCATGTTTTAGAAAAGGAAAAATATTATCTAAAACCAATAATCAGAGTTTCTGCCTCAAGGAACTAGAAAAAGAAGTAGAACTTGAATAATAAAAACTAGAGCAAAGATCAAGATCAAAAATGAAAACAAAAATGCAACCTATTCAAAATTTTGGAATGTAGTAAAAGTAGTGCTTAGAGGGAAATATGTAGCATTAAGTGCATGTTTTAGAAAAGGAAAAATATTATCTAAAACCAATAATCAGAGTTTCTGCCTCAAGGAACTAGAAAAAGAAGTAGAACTTGAATAATAAAAACTAGAGCAAAGATCAAGATCAAAAGCTGGAAGTCAATAAAATAATATAAAAGCAAAAAGCTTGTTCTTTAAAAGAGCAATAAAATAGACAGGCAGGGCCAGTGAGATGGCTCAGCAGGTAAAGGCACCAGCTGCCAACCCTGATGATCTCAGTTCAATCCCCGGGACTCACATGGTGGAGAGAGAGAATCAATTTCCAAAAGTCCTCCGACCTCCACACAAGTGGTTAAAAGCACTTGTTCATCCAGAGGACTGAGTTTGGTTCCCAGCACCCACATCAGGCAGCTCACAACTGCCTGTAACTCCTGTTCCAAAGAATCCAACACTCTCTTCTGGCTTCTGCAGGCATTGCACGCACATGATGCACTTACATATATACAGGCAAGACACTCACACATAAAATAAAAAATAAGTCTCCCCTCTCCCCAAAGGACTATTACACACAATATAGAAAGGACATTTAAAACTCAGCAATAAAGGGTTGGAGAGATGGCTACATGGTTAAGAGCACTTGCTTCTTTTTCAGAGGACCTGAGTTTGATTTCTAAGACTCACATGGTGGCTCATAAAAATCTGTAAATCTGGTTTCAGAGGATCCGATGCCCTCTTCTTGCCCCTGCAGGCACTACATGCAAGTGGTACATATACATACATGCAGACAAAACACTCATATACATAAAATAAAATATTTTTAAAATACCCTTGGGCTGGAGAGATGGCTCAGTGGTTAAGAGCACTGGCTGCTCTTGCAGAGGACCCAGGTTCAATTCCCAGCACCCATGTGGCGGCTAACATAACTCCGTTACTCCAGTTACAGGAAAACCTGATGCCCTCCTCTGACCTCTGCAGGTATTGCATGATGTGGGTACACTAACATACATGCAGGCATATGTTCATACACATAAAATAAAAATAATAAAATATTTTAAAAAAATATCCTCAGCAATAAGAAAATGAATCACCCAGTTAAAAATGGGCAGACATATGAGATATTTATCATCATGTATCATTAGGAAATTGCAAATGAAAACAACAAACTACCACTACCTATCTATTAAAATGCTAAAATTCAAGCTGGGCATAGTGGTGCATCCCAGCACTTGGGAGGCAGAGGCAGGCAGATCTCTATGAGTTCAAGGCCAGCCAGGTCTACATAGTTCCAGGCAAGCTGGGACTACAGAGAGACCCTGTCTCAAAAACACACACAAAAAGCTAAAATTCAAAATACTAACACCACCAAATGTTAAAGATGAGGAACAGCTTGGTGGGAATGCAAAGAGTCAAGAGTAACTTTGGAAGATGATTTGCCCATTTCTTACAACACTAAACACACCTTTACCATGTATATAACCTGGCAATCACACTCCTTGGTATTTACCTGAATAATTTTAAAGCTTAAGTCTACACAAAACCAAACCAGTGAGTACCAGGGGTTGAGGGGAGCAAGGATTGAATAGGTGGGTCACAGAGGACTTTCTGGGAAGGTAAACTATTTTGTGTGCTCCTACAGTGAGACACATATACATTTGTCAAAACCTACAAAAAATACAACACCGAGTGTGAACCCTGATGTCACCATGAGCTTTGGGTGATGGTGGTTTGAGTGTAAGGATGTGTATCTCTGGTTCAGGATGCTTATGTTGGGGAGGCTGGGGGAGATAGGGATAGAGGCTATGTGAGGACTATCTGTGCTTACAGTTCAACTTTGTTGTACACTTAAACCATAAAAAAAATTTTTTTTGAAACAGGATTTCATCTAACCCAGGCTGGCCTTGAACATGCTATGTAGTCAAAGATGACTGAACTGCTGATCCTTCTGCCTCCACCTCCCAAGTACTGGGATGATAGGTGTTTAACCCACCCCTGGTTTAAAAACAGAATTTATTGTTAGAAAGTTAGTAAAACAATACATTCCCAAAAAAGGAATCCTTAGAGCTAAATGACACTCTGGCTGCCCCTCCCCAGACACTCGCCTCTTTGTCCCTCCTACTTTCTTGCCCTTTCCCTGCTTCCTGATCCCACTCCTCTGACCTTGGGCATTTCCTCAACCTTCTCCCAGGGTCTTCTTTTTTTTAAACTATTTTTGTTTTATGTGTATTAGTGTTTTGCCTGCATCTGTATGTAAGTGCACCAAATGTGTGCCTGGTGCCCACAGGGCCAGAGGGGTCATCAGATCCCCTGGAACTGGAATCACAGACATTTGTGAGCCACCATGTAGGTGCCAGGAATTGAACCCAGGTCCTCTGCAAGAGCAGTAAACTACTCTGAACTGCTGAGTCATCTTTCCAGCCCCTCCTACCCCTGCCCGCCACTGGCTCCCTGTTCCCCTTAGAGTCTTGATGGGCTTTCACATGGCAGGAAGTCTGATATACAGATCAAGAGGCTGACCAGGGCTGGGTGTGGTGGCAGGCTCCTCCTGCAACCTAGCACTCAGCAGACCAAGGCAAGAGGTTTGACAGTTCAAGGCTAGCTTGGGTTACATAGTGATACTCCATCTCCAAAAAAAACCAAACCCAAACCAAACAAAAAAGCCATATATAGTGGTGGTGCACACCAGTAATCCTAGCACTCAGAATGTTGAGGCAGGAGGATTGCTGCAAGTGTGAAGCCAGCTTGGGCTACACAGAGTAAGACCCTGTAACACACACACACACACACACACACACACACACACACACACGCATGCAGACATGCACCTACACACACAGCTGACCACAGCCCAAGATGGCCCCTTCTCTTTCTCTATGTCCACATCTCCCCACATTCCAAATTCCTTTCCCGCCTGCGTAACCTCCTGGCCTCTGCCAGCTCTTCTACATTGCCCCTCCTCTGGGCCTCCAAAGCCTAACCCTAGGCATGGACAGGCATTTATGTGTTGTGTTTTATCCCTGTGACTGGTGCTAGGCATGCATGTATCCAGGTGCTTGCACAGCATGTTTTGCCTGTCTGTGTGCATGGATGCATGTGTTATGCAAGTGCTGGTGTGTGTGAGTACCTCTGGGTTACATGTGAGGTGCATCATTATGCACGGGCTCTCCCTGCATTTGGAGGTGCTTCCAGCTTGGGGCTGTGATCTCCTGGAGGACTAGTCCTTCAAACTCAGTTTTCCCTTCCATCAAGTCTCTGAACAGCACCTCTCCCCAGGCCTTCCCACTAGAGATACAGGAAGACTTCCCTTCAGACTCACTTTCTCACTTGGTCAGCCCCACCCTTTGGGGCCACATCCTCAGATGATGCCCACATGTCCCTGGCTTTAGGTCTAAGAAACTGAAGCCCAGGATGGGATTCCAAGGCTCTCTTAAGGCTCATATAGATTCTTTCCAGTGGCCTATGGGGCTGGTAGGTAGAAGCGAAGTGGAACCATCCCCGGGGAGTTAGCAAGTCCTGGACACCTGGCCAGGAATGATGCCAGAATCTTCAAGGGGGTAGGTAGGCTCGAGGAATCTAAAAAATGTGATGTCATCCCTAAAAAAACTTGCTTCTAGGATATAACAGCCAGGTGAACTTACTGGTCAGGAGCATTAGTTCCCCCAAACCTGAGCCAGAGCCCAAGTGGGGTGGTGCAGACCTGTAATGTTAGCACTCATGAGGCTGAGGGAGAAGGATCAAGGGTTTGAGACCAACTTGGGTTACATGAGACCCTGTCTCAAAAATCCAAGGCTGGGGAAGTAGCTTAGTGGTAGAGCACTTGCCTAATAGCCCAAGGCCCTGGGGTTGATATTCAGCACCTTAAGAAAAAAAATCTGCATGGGGCCAGCACTGGAGGCTTTAATGCTTTTGTCTAGTCATTTCTCTGGGGTTGAGGGGGAGGACAGCTTAAAATGGATTTTCAGCAATAATGGAGTCCCTTTTTTGGTTCCTGGCACTGAGATGCAACACAAAAGAGACAGTGTCACTAGGGTCCCAGTGAGAGGGTAGAGGAAGGGGTAAGCTCAGAGGCCTGCCTGAGGGAGGAGGTCATTAGGGTAAGGGGTCTTCCATGGCACCTGCTGGGCTAATGACATTCTGTTCTGTGTCTATGTAACACCAGAGGCTGGGGTGCTAAAGCCCTGTTTCCTCATTCTTTTCACAAAAGTGTCCCAGGGCAGCAGCCTTCAGCCTCTCCTCAGGCAGACGCTAGAGAAACATGTCTACTTGCTGATACCACATGACCCTTGCCCCCTCTTTGAACCCAAAACTCTGCCCTAGCCCTGGAGAGCTCACCCTCCATGGTCCCCCAGGCCTCCTCCAGCCCTGGCTTTGCTACTGCACCTCGGTCCACTGGAACCTCGTTTCCGGCAGCCTTTATGAGGTAATTGAGGTTAGGCCCTCACTGAACAACTTGTATCCTTGCCCAGCCCCTCATTCCACTATTTGACACCCCACGTTAATGAGGCCCCTTGTGGAGGGGCTGCATGCCAGCTGCACTCACTCTTCTTTGACTTCCTGAAGCTGGGGGGACAGGGCTGGTGCCTAGAGAAACTTTACTTCCCCTTTGATAGTGGCCTTCTTGAACCCTGTCTTGCTGAAGTCTAGGTAAGAGCAAGGGAAGTTCTGAGTTTTCTGGGTCCAAGGTTGGCACGTCTCCACGGGTTTGGGCAATTTCTCTGGAAGCTTGTGTTTCTCTGGGGCAGGCTGGGTGAGCTGGGCAGCCTGGACAGGCTGCATAAGCTCTATGGAAGGCTCCCGGGCCTTCTCAGGTGGACCTTTGATCATGTCCTCCATATTGCTGAAGGAAGCTATGGCCAGGGAGGATGCAAAATTGATAAGCTCTGCCAGGCCAATGGCTGTTGGCAGGCTGGTGCAGGACATGTGGGGGCTTGGTGACCTTGGGGATACATTTGGGAGAAGCTGACCAGTGTGGACAGACTTCTGCTCCAGGGAACTCTTGTAGCACTGAATTTTGAAGGCCCGCTGTAGGCTGTGCTCTGATGCCTGGATGAGCTTGTTTGCCCAGAAGAGGTGGTTGGAGGTCTGTACACAGATCGAGCGATACTGGGAGGACAACCTGGTCCTCCTCCCTGTAGCTGGAGTTGGTGTTGAAGCTCCAGGGCCTGAAGTTGTGCATGGGTGGCAGCTCCTTCTTGTAGAGCTTGAGGGACTTGATCCTGTAGCCCTGTTGCTCTGGGGTTTCCATAAAGCAGTCCCATTTCTTCCAGTTGTGGTACTGGACCTAGGTCTGGATCTGAGTCCACTTTGGGTAGTGTCTCCTTCTTCGGCAGTTCTATTTTCAGCTGAAGTTTTTCATTGGAACCTGAGGAAGCAGAAGCTGGGCACCCCTCCCTCCCAGAAGACTCCTTTGGCACCCCTGTTCTGCTCCTATCTGGCATACTGCCCACCTCTTCCCTCCACTTGCCCCTTCTGGGAGACCTGCTCAAAGCAGGGAAGGAAGTGGTGAGGGGGTATGGGTGGCCTGGTACTACAGTCCAAGAACTGCCAAGGATAAGGACCCTGCCCTCTTGCCTGCCACTTCTCCATAAAGTATGATGGTCTCACCTCTGTTTCATCTTCCTCTGTTTCTTCCTGGGTGTGGGGGTGGTGGTAGTAGTCATTCCTGAAACAGGAGGAGTCAAAGTGGGTGATAGGAATCCATGGGGTGGGTCTTCAGGGAAAGGGGGTCTCTAGGGCTGTCAGAGGGCCTAGAGATTGTATAGGGGCTGACAAGATGACCCAAGCTCTTCCACTCCCTTGTTGTCCCTGTTCCGAACAGGAACTCTAGAGTGGTATTTTTGTGTGTATGTGGTGTATGTAGGTATGCATGTACACATGCGTGTGTTGAAGCACATGTGGAGGGCTAGAGGTTGACACTGGGCTATGTTCTTTAATCACTCTCCATCTTGTTTTGTTTGAGACAGGTCTCACTATGTAGCCCTAGCTGGCCTCAAACTCACAGAGGTCCACCTGTCTCTGCCTCCTGAGTGCTGGGACTAAAGACATGTGCCACAATGCCTGGCTTCCACTTTATTTTTTAATACAGGATCTCTCTCCCTGAACCTGGAGCTCACTGATTTGCTAGACTGGCTCGCCAGTGAGCCCCCTGGGATTCCCCTGTTTCCATCTCCTAGCCCTGGTATTACAGGGGGCTAGAGATCTGAACTCAGGCCCCTATGCTTGCACAGTAAGCATTTTTCCCACTAAGGTATTTCTCCAACCTCTGGAGTGGTATTCTTTAAAAAAATTTATTTTTATTTTATGTGTATTAGTGTTTTTGTCTGCATGTATGTATGTATACCATATGTGTGCCTGGTGCCCAGGGAGGTCAGAAGAAGGTGTCAGATCCCCTGGAACTAGAGTTACAGGTGGTTGTTAGCCACCATGTAGGTGCTGGGAACCACACTGGGGTCCTTTGGTGGAAGTGCAGTCAACGTCCTTAACTGCTGAGCTATCTCTCCAGCCTTCCTGGCATGGTAATCTTAAGCTTCTTTGAGCTTCAGAAACTTTTGGAGAGCTTGCCAACCCATCCCTCAGCTCCAAAACACAGGATCAGTTGGTTGGAGGTGAGGCCTGGGAATCTTCATTCTCCTCAAGCCTTGCATATATATGAGGAATCTATTGTCATATCCTGCAGTGCAGCTCACTGTGAGAACTGGTGCCCCCAAAGTGGCTCCATACAAAGGAAAGCCCAGGATATAGCCAGTTACTCACCTGCTCCATACCCAATGGGCAGACCTGAGAAGCCAGAGAATTAAGGGGGCCCTTCAATGTTTCTTGGTCCCTACTTCTAATTGGTCCTTCCTTAGGCACCCGTCTACCTCTACCTTGGACAGCTATGTCTTCAGCAAACAAGGCAGCCCTTCCTGTGGTGTAACCTATCACAGTCCTCCAGTACTAGAGGCTGAAGGCAGAGATGGATTGCAGCCCTTCCTCCCACCCCAGCCTTTGGCCTGGACACCAGCCCTGAGAATTTGGAAAGGGGTTAAAGGGAGGAAGATCCTAGTTATGTGAGGTGCATGGTGTCAGGGGAGGGGGGATTGGGGGTCTGGGGGACAGGGTCTGTGATGATGGGAATGGGTTCTCACAGTCTCTCCACAATATCCACAGAGTTCCTGCCATGGCAGGGAAATGCACTGGTTCCTGGAAGGGAAAAGGAGATAAGGTCAGGGAGCCTCAGGATGGGGACAGCCCCTGAATGGGACAAGGGGTGCTGCCCAGCCACTTTCTTCTGCCCTCCTTTCTCTCCCTTGGGTCCCTTTGCCATGGCCTCTACCACCCCACCCCTCGTCTCCTCTTGTCACCCCCTTGGCAGGGTCACCAGTCCCGCCTTCCTGCCCTCCATATTCATCTCCCTCTACTGGCTGTCTTGGCCTTTCCCCAACTCTTGGCTCCATCGCCTGCCTCCACAAGCAAGAATGCCCACAGCATTCCCTTCCTATGATGGAGTACTGCAGTACTTTATCTTATTGACTCTATACCAAACATTAGAGGGGTTCGTCTCCCAGGATTTCCACAGCTGATAGTTGCTAAGGCAAAGACTTCAGGGTTTTCTGTTCTACTGTCCTCTGCAGGAGCCCATCATACCTCAGGAGAACCTTCCCCATCCAGGTCTGTTCTGCATCTGTGCTGCTTCCTGAGTGCGCCCTGGTCACCCATCACTGATTGGGCCAACACTCACACTCAGGGTGCTTGGTCTGGGTAGTAACACCTCACTGCTGGCTGGTGAGTTTGAATCACCCCTTTGAAATCCTAGGAGGTTGAGTGACCCTAGGGGCATCCTGGAACCAGAAAGCAACCAGGAGGCTTATGTCCTCTGACATGGAAGCTTCCCGTCATCCCCTAGGAGTGGGGCACCAGGCAGTCCTGGCCTCTGCTCCCTAGGGTTGTGAATAAGGGTAGATAGTGAAGGATTACAGCAGTCATGTTTCTTGCAAAGTGAATCCCCATGAGCCTGCAGTGCAGCAGGAAGTGATAACCTTGCTTTTTTTTTTTTCAGCAGAGATTTGCTCCCAGGATTCTATAAGAAGCTTGAGAATGTGCTGAGGCTTCTTCCTAGAGATGGAGAGGCTGGATGGGGTGGTCCTTGCATGGCTGGTCCTAAGCATTGGGATTCAGGTATGTCTGTACTTCAGCCAGGCCTGGGGATCTTAGATCAGCTTTGTGGTGCGGCTCTGAGGACAGCACCATGGACAGAACCTCAGCAGCCAGCTCTGCCTCCTTGACCACCTGCTCTTCTGCTTCCTCCATCTTCTCCAGGTCCAGCTGCACTTGCCCCGAGCATGGCTCTTTCTCCAGACAACCACAGAGCCTTCCTTGTTCACGTTACAGTTTCCCTGGGCACTCTGATCACCACACAGCCCCAACCCTTCCACACGCAGGAACGGACAGGAGGACAAATGACAGTGGTGCGAGCCTCGTAGCAGCACTGGGGACTGGAAGAAAAAGTCTGAGGTTGATTCAACTTGGGACCTTTGTGCCTGACCTGGGAATGTTCTGACAGACATCAAGTGACAGTAGGTGATCTATGAAATATTTCCAATTGTTGCTAGGATATGGAAATATATTCTCATTTCCTGCATGTATGCTAAATTCCTATTAGTTCTGATAGCTTTTCTCAGAGATTCCATCAGGTTTATACATGGACAATAATCTGTGTGAATCAAGACAATTTTATTTCTTCCTTCTGTGTCTGAAGCCTCATCTTTCCTTTTCTTTCTTTTTTGCACTGGGAGCAATTGCTACACAGTGTTGAGGTTGGGGGTGGACATCCTTGTTTCATTTTCGCTTAGTGGGGAAACATTCAGTATTTCATCTTTGTGAGGCTAGTCATAATTTTCTTTTAGATGCCTTTTGTCAGGTTGAAGTTTCATTTCCTAGTTTTCTTTGTTATTTTTTAATATTTATTTTATTTTAAAATTATATGTATATGTGTATGTCTGAGTGTGGGTATATGCACATGAGTACCGGTGTCCTTGGACGCCAGAGGCATTGCATCTCCCTGGAACTGGAGTTACAGGTCATTGTAGCTGCTTGAAGTGGGTGCTGGGAATCAAACTTAAGTTTTCTGCTCTTAACCACCAAGCCATCTCTCCAGCCCCTACCTGTTTTTTGGAGACAGGTGTCCCGCGCTATCGTCTCGCCAGCAAGAACGACGCGGCACACTCAGGATCCTTCTGCAGAAAAGCTTTAATGCATCTTGAGAGGGAGAGCATAAGCTTACAGGGCGAAGACCCCGAATGTCGGAAACCCAGCCCTTATATAGGTTAGTAAGCCCGTCTTGGACGTGGCAACTCTTGATTGGTCACAAACTCATCAGCCCATATCACGCCACGAGGTAGGCAGAGACTAGAAGGTGGAAAATTACTTCGGGCATGCGTACTGACTTATTTACTGCTCAGCATGAACCGGATGTGAGCGCCATCTTGTAATGGCGTCTGCAGGGACGGCAGGCAGCTCCCCACAGTTATTGCCAGCTACTGCCACTCCTCCATTCTTGTGGGTGCCGCTCCTTTGTTCTCATGGGGGTCAAGGCTGCTCCTCCACTCACCCTGGGCTGAGGCCACTCTTCTGCTCACCTGGTGCTGAGGCAGCTCTTCTGCTTGCCCTGTTCTGCCTCCTGTCGTGGCCTCTTCTGCCCAGTTCCAGAGTGCAGGGCTGGTGAGAAGACTATGTCAGCGGAACACCATTCAGACACAGGAGACCAGGTTCAGTGACACAGGTTTGCTTTATTGCAGGAAGGCACAAGCTTATATAGGGGTAGTGGTCCAATCACAGCA